GAACATGTCACATAGTTTAGATTGAACATGTCACATAGTTTAGATTGAACATGTCACATAGTTCAGATTGAACATGTCACATAGTTTAGATTGAACATGTCACATAGTTTAGATTGAACATGTCACATAGTTTAGATTGAACATGTCACATAGTTCAGATTGAACATGTCACATAGTTTAGATTGAACATGTCACATAGTTTAGTCACATAGTTTGATTGAGCATGTCACATAGTTTAGATTGAACATGTCACATAGTTTAGATTGAACATGTCACATAGTTTAGATTGAACATGTCACATAGTTTAGATTAGATTGATTGAACATGTCACATAGTTTAGATTGAACATGTCACATAGTTTAGATTGAGCATGTCACATAGTTTAGATTGAACATGTCACATAGTTTAGATTGAACATGTCACATAGTTTAGATTGAACATGTCACATAGTTTAGATTGAACATGTCACATAGTTTAGATTGAACATGTCACATAGTTTAGATTGAACATGTCACATAGTTTAGATTGAGCATGTCACATGGTTCAGATTGAACATGTCACATGGTTCAGATTGAACATGTCACATAGTTCAGATTGAACATGTCACATGGTCAGATTGAACATGTCACATGGTTCAGATTGAACATGTCACATAGTTCAGATTGAACATGTCACTTGGTTCAGATTGAACATGTCACATAGTTTAGATTGAACATGTCACTTGGTTCAGATTGAACATGTCACATAGTTTAGATTGAGCATGTCACATGGTTCAGATTGAACATGTCACATGGTTCAGATTGAACATGTCACATAGTTTAGATTGAGCATGTCACATGGTTCAGATTGAACATGTCACATAGTTTAGATTGAGCATGTCACATAGTTTAGATTGAACATGTCACATAGTTTAGATTGAACATGTCACATAGTTTAGATTGAGCATGTCACATAGTTTAGATTGAACATGTCACATAGTTTAGATTGAACATGTCACATAGTTTAGATTGAGCATGTCACATGGTTCAGATTGAACATGTCACATGGTTCAGATTGAACATGTCACATAGTTTAGATTGAACATGTCACATAGTTTAGATTGAGCATGTCACATGGTTTAGATTGAACATGTCACATGGTTTAGATTGAGCATGTCACATGGTTCAGATTGAACATGTCACATGGTTTAGATTGAGCATGTCACATAGTTCAGATTGAACATGTCACATGGTTCAGATTGAACATGTCACACGGTTCAGATTGAACATGTCACATGGTTCAGATTGAACATGTCACATGGTTCAGATTGAACATGTCACATAGTTTAGATTGAGCATGTCACATGGTTTAGATTGAACATGTCACATAGTTTAGATTGAGCATGTCACATGGTTCAGATTGAACATGTCACATGGTTTAGATTGAGCATGTCACATAGTTCAGATTGAACATGTCACATAGTTTAGATTGAGCATGTCACATGGTTTAGATTGAACATGTCACATAGTTTAGATTGAACATGTCACATAGTTTAGATTGAACATGTCACATAGTTTAGATTGAACATGTCACATAGTTTAGATTGAACATGTCACATAGTTTAGATTGAACATGTCACATAGTTTAGATTGAACATGTCACATAGTTTAGATTGAACATGTCACATAGTTTAGATTGAACATGTCACATAGTTTAGATTGAACATGTCACATAGTTTAGATTGAACATGTCACATAGTTTAGATTGAGCATGTCACATGGTTCAGATTGAACATGTCACTTGGTTCAGATTGAACATGTCACATAGTTTAGATTGAGCATGTCACATGGTTCAGATTGAACATGTCACTTGGTTCAGATTGAACATGTCACATAGTTTAGATTGAGCATGTCACATGGTTCAGATTGAACATGTCACATGGTTCAGATTGAACATGTCACATAGTTTAGATTGAACATGTCACATAGTTCAGATTGAGCATGTCACATGGTTCAGATTGAACATGTCACATGGTTCAGATTGAACATGTCACATGGTTCAGATTGAACATGTCACATAGTTTAGATTGAGCATGTCACATGGTTCAGATTGAACATGTCACATAGTTTAGATTGAGCATGTCACATGGTTCAGATTGAACATGTCACTTGGTTCAGATTGAACATGTCACATAGTTTAGATTGAGCATGTCACATGGTTCAGATTGAACATGTCACATAGTTTAGATTGAGCATGTCACATGGTTCAGATTGAACATGTCACTTGGTTCAGATTGAACATGTCACATAGTTTAGATTGAGCATGTCACATGGTTCAGATTGAACATGTCACATGGTTCAGATTGAACATGTCACATAGTTTAGATTGAACATGTCACATAGTTCAGATTGAACATGTCACATAGTTTAGATTGAACATGTCACATGGTTCAGATTGAACATGTCACTTGGTTCAGATTGAGCATGTCACATGGTTCAGATTGAACATGTCACTTGGTTCAGATTGAACATGTCACATGGTTCAGATTGAACATGTCACTTGCTTCAGATTGAACATGTCACATAGTTTAGATTGAACATGTCACTTGGTTCAGATTGAACATGTCACATAGTTCAGATTGAACATGTCACATAGTTTAGATTGAACATGTCACATAGTTTAGATTGAACATGTCACTTGGTTCAGATTGAACATGTCACATAGTTCAGATTGAACATGTCACTTGGTTCAGATTGAACATGTCACATAGTTTAGATTGAACATGTCACATAGTTTAGATTGAGCATGTCACATGGTTCAGATTGAACATGTCACATGGTTCAGATTGAACATGTCACATAGTTTAGATTGAGCATGTCACATGGTTCAGATTGAACATGTCACATGGTTCAGATTGAACATGTCACATAGTTTAGATTGAGCATGTCACATGGTTCAGATTGAACATGTCACTTGGTTCAGATTGAACATGTCACATGGTTCAGATTGAACATGTCACATAGTTTAGATTGAACATGTCACATAGTTTAGATTGAACATGTCACATAGTTTAGATTGAACATGTCACTTGGTTCAGATTGAACATGTCACATGGTTCATATTGAACATGTCACATAGTTTAGATTGAACATGTCACTTGGTTCAGATTGAACATGTCACATAGTTTAGATTGAACATGTCACATGGTTCAGATTAAACATGTCACATAGTTCAGATTGAACATGTCACTTGGTTCAGATTGAACATGTCACATAGTTTAGATTGAACATGTCACTTGGTTCAGATTGAACATGTCACATGGTTCAGATTGAACATGTCACATAGTTCAGATTGAACATGTCACTTGGTTCAGATTGAACATGTCACATAGTTTAGATTGAACATGTCACTTGGTTCAGATTGAACATGTCACATAGTTTAGATTGAGCATGTCACATGGTTCAGATTGAACATGTCACCTAGTTTAGATTGAGCATGTCACATGGTTCAGATTGAACATGTCACTTGGTTCAGATTGAACATGTCACATAGTTTAGATTGAGCATGTCACATGGTTCAGATTGAACATGTCACATGGTTCAGATTGAACATGTCACATAGTTTAGATTGAGCATGTCACATAGTTTAGATTGAACATGTCACTTGGTTCAGATTGAGCATGTCACATGGTTCAGATTGAACATGTCACATAGTTTAGATTGAACATGTCACATAGTTCAGATTGAACATGTCACATAGTTTAGATTGAACATGTCACATGGTTCAGATTGAACATGTCACTTGGTTCAGATTGAGCATGTCACATGGTTCAGATTGAACATGTCACTTGGTTCAGATTGAACATGTCACATGGTTCAGATTGAACATGTCACTTGGTTCAGATTGAACATGTCACATAGTTTAGATTGAACATGTCACTTGGTTCAGATTGAACATGTCACATAGTTCAGATTGAACATGTCACTTGGTTCAGATTGAACATGTCACATAGTTCAGATTGAACATGTCACTTGGTTCAGATTGAACATGTCACTTGGTTCAGATTGAGCATGTCACATGGTTCAGATTGAACATGTCACTTGGTTCAGATTGAGCATGTCACATGGTTTAGATTGAACATGTCACATGGTTTAGAATGAACATGTCACATGGTTTAGAATGAACATGTCACATGGTTTAGAATGAACATGTCACATGATTCAGATTGAACATGTCACATAGTTTAGATTGAACATGTCACATGGTTCAGATTGAGCATGTCACATAGTTTAGATTGAACATATCACTTGGTTCAGATTGAACATGTCACATGGTTCAGATTGAGCATGTCACATGGTTCAGATTGAACATGTCACATAGTTTAGATTGAACATGTCACTTGGTTCAGATTGAACATGTCACATAGTTCAGATTGAACATGTCACTTGGTTCAGATTGAGCATGTCACATGGTTCAGATTGAGCATGTCACATGGTTCAGATTGAACATGTCACTTGGTTCAGATTGAACATGTCACTTGGTTCAGATTGAACATGTCACTTGGTTCAGATTGAGCATGTCACATGGTTCAGATTGAACATGTCACTTGGTTCAGATTGAGCATGTCACATGGTTTAGATTGAACATGTTACATGGTTTAGAATGAACATGTCACATGGTTTAGAATGAACATGTCACATGGTTTAGAATGAACATGTCACATGATTCAGATTGACCATGTCACATAGTTTATAATGAAGATGTCACATAGTTTAGATTGAACATGTCACATGGTTCAGATTGAACATGTCATTATTTTTTTCAAATATGTATATGCGTGTGTGAACATATGCTCATGTGTTTACAGTTTTACACACAGTAAATCATTTCAGAAGATTTACTTCAGATTAAAAAACCAAAACATTTTGACAAGCAAATGTTTTTGCTCACTAAAAGATTATGTGTAGTTGTTCTGTAAAGATGCAAGTTGTGAACAGTGAGTTGTGAAACATTTCTGACAGGTGCTGGTGTCAGAGTTGAAGGCCACCGAGTCGTGGGTATGCCAGCACATTTCGGATCACAGTGGCTTTCATTACCGCCAGTTCCTGCTGACAGAATTACACCAGAGACGTGCCAAACTGGCCATGACCTGTTTGCTGAATTCCACAGAGTTGTTGATGTTTGAGATGTCATTGGTTTGTGACCTCTTACATTCATTTCCGGGTCATGAAACACTCTGGTATCACAGGTCAGTATTTGATCATTAGTTGCGACTGTTTCACTAATGTGTTTATATATCTATATTTGGAATTTTTTCTTGGCCTGGAAGCCTCTGCATCACTATTCTGATGTTGCATGAGGTAATGAGCTGATCAGCATCTAGAATTATCTAAGCTATGTCAGTTCTGCAGTGTTCACTGCCCTCCAGAGCCTGAAGAGCCGACATTGAATCGGTGAAGATGACAATATTTTGGGCCTTTGAAGGATAAACATCCATTACAGTCTCTAGGTAGTATACTGCTGTTTCCAGTGCAATTATTTCAGCTTCATAATTTGAGCAGAATTCCCCGCATGCATCAAATATCTCTTCAATAGATCCATCGGGATAACCTATGTAAATTCCGTAACCTGCTTTAATGGTAGCATTAAATGCAGATCCATCAGTATAAACATGTATCCATTCTTCGGGGTAAGAACCAACGGTCTTTAGTGATGAGTTCATAAGGATGATTGATGAGTTCATAAGGGTGATTGATGAGTTCATAAGGGTGATTGATGAGTTCATAAGGGTGATTGATGAGTTCATAAGGGTGATTGGATGGGACTGTTTAGTTTCTTCGTCTACCAATTTCAACCAGACTGTTGGAGCTTTAAAGCGAGCATGTGGTGGTATGTTTCTTGCAACATTCTGAGTGCCCTGATGTCTTTCTGAGAGGTGGTATCTGTCCTGTGCCTCATGCACATAGCGTAAAACCTATTAGTGCTTTATTCTTTGTCTTCCCAACTTTCTACAAGGTGTCTATTAGGATGGTTACGATCTTTCTAATGCATCTTTCATAAATTTCTAAAGTGGCTTTTCCTCTCCGCAGCCTCAGGTGTTCCACATTTGTATGGATTTCACATGCAGCAGTTGGAGTAGACCGCATAGCTCCGCTGAATAATCGGAGGGCATTATTTTGTACTCTGTCAAGAGTCTCTAGGTTAGTTTTGGAGCAAGTTGTAAACGGTGAGTTGTTGTACTCTATCACAGAGCGAACATATCCTAGATATAAGCCCCTCAGAGTTTCCTTGTCTGATCCCCATGATGTACCTGCAAGTCTCTTCAATAACTGTAACCGCCTCAATGCCTTATTCCTTACGTTTTCAATATGGTTCTTGAGGCTTAGCTGCCGGTCAAGTGTGACTCCAAGGTATGTGGGATGCTCTTCTTTCATCACTTGGTGTTTGTCTAACCTCAGGTTAATATTCTTCCTTGCTACTTGGTGGCTTTTGGTAAAGATTGTGTAGACCGTCTTTGTATAGTTAACCTTGAGTTTCCATCTTTGGCAGGACACATGCAGTCTTCTAAGGTCTCCATTAAGTCTTTGGGCTCCACTTTCAATATTTTTATGACTCTGCCATATTGCTAGATCATCAGTGTACAAGGCTTTTTCGGCCTTGATTTGTTCTGGCAAGTCGTTGATAAAGATTAGAAACAGTGTACAGCTCAATGATGAGCCTTGTGGCAAGCCCTCCCCCTAAGACTTCTTTAGAAGAGATTGCGTTGTGCATCTTAGTCTGGATTGTTCTATCTATCAGAAAGTATTTCACCCAGTTATACAATCTGCCATGTATTCCTATGCTCATCATCTTCATCAGGAGACCTTTTCGTCTGGAGACTTATTGGTTTTAAGTATGGGGACGATACATGCATTCCTCCATGCCTTTGGAAGTTTGCTTGACCTCCATGTCTTATTAATTAGCCTGAAAATTATTTCTCTGCCAGACCGGCCAAGATATAGCAGCATTTCATTGGGAATCTTATCTAGACCTGGGGATTTTCTAGGTTTTAATTTCTTCAGGGCCTGTTCTAATTCATCCATGCTAAATTCATCTTCAGAAAGGAAGTCGCTGGGTGTTGGAGCTCTCTCTTGTTTCTTTAACTGAGATAGCTGTATTCTGTGCATTTGTCGTTGAACAGAAGTTTGCAGTACTGTTTACGCCAAGTATTGGCCAGTGTGTATACAATATGACATTCAAATTGGGCCAAAAGCTTTGAGCACAGAAAGATGTTGGGGAGTATATTCACCTTATCCTAGGGTGATGAAATTCATCCTAAAATCCTGATGCCTTTAGCCTTGGGTGGAAGCTCCAACAGGGGGACTGGCAAGCACAGCTTTTCTTATCCAGCAGCTTCTGCTGCAAACTATTGGTGTTACCTTTCGTTTAAAGTTAACAAAACAGACGGAGAAGGGGTCATGCTGCATGTGCAACACATGGTTTCTACAATACTGGCCAGGTTTTGTGCTGTCGACAGGAAGAACTTCTTACCTGGCCTTTATTGCTGTCACCAAGGGCTGCGACTCTCATGCTTCATGTAGCACAGTGGAACTCTCTGTGTTGATTCCTAATTCAGCATTCAACATGTCACATTTTGGCATTGCTATGACTGTTTAGTTTAGTCCTTCGATGCAGCAGCCACTGCAAGGTACCTCTGCTGGATGTTTCCTTGAGAAGTTGGTTATCGTACTTTTTATCTCAACATTGTAGACGGCACCAGCGTGCTTCACCAAAGTTCAGTCCGAGATCATGCAACTGTGTTAGCATCAGAGGTGTACTACTTTCTGCCAGTCTAGTATAGTGTGATGAAATCTACTCTCTTGTGCATTTTCCTGCATGCAGTGGTGCAGTAGTTGCTAGCACTTATTCATGACCTTTCACTCCGACATGTCCAGCTGTGTAGATCCAGGTGAGGGAGGTTAAGTGTGACTTCTGAATGCCGTCTATCTATTGAGAGCAAATGTTGCCTGTTGTTATTTCCTGAAGGATTTGCATGGAATCTATCACTTACTGTGTGGCTGGCTATTCTCCTGCCGATATGAGTGGACTGTCAGCAGCTGTTATCCCTGTGGCCATGCTTGACTTAGATGCCTGGAGTTGCTCATCCTTTGTGCTGTGTATGCTTTTGCCGACCTTGGCCAGTATTTCATGTGCACATCAGTGTAGATAGTGATGATTTCTGGGCATGAATACTGATCTGTCCTGCCCATTCCTCAGTGTCAGTGTAATGGTGATGTTATTTGTGACTTATTGATTGCATGTCATGTTTACCGTTGAGATGTTATGTCCTTCTCTGAGGTCATGATTCAGTGATCTTCAGGATACTCTCCTGCGACATTGAAGGCACAAGGGATGTAACTATGATCAGTTAACTCTTGATAACCAGTTGCAACTCTTGCTCAACAAAAGAGTTGCCCACTTCAGACAGCTGCATTATTTATTTACCACCACATTTTTTTCTTTTTTAAACTGGGACTATCTGTCTGACAGACATAAGACACTGCAGTTTCTTGTCTGCTGTCTATATGACACACGTAAGATACTACAGTGTCTTGTCTGCTGTCTGTCTCACAGACATGAGACACTAGTGTCTAGTCAGCTGTCTAGTCTATCTGACAAACATAAGACGCTACAGTTTCTTGTCTGCTGTCTATCTGACAAACATAAGACACTACAGTTTCTTGTCTGCTGTCTATCTGACAAACATAAGACACTACAGTGTCTTGTCTGCTGTCTATCTGACAAACATAAGACACTACAGTGTCTTGTCTGCTGTCTGTCTGACAGGCGTTAAGAAATTACAGCATCTTATCATTCTAAACACTTTATAACAGACAGAAATCAAATGTGCAGCAGACTTCACTGGTGATAATTCATTGAGATTTTGGTCTTTTACAGGCGATTTCTCTTCCAGGCCTTGTTGAAATCTGATTGGCTGGGGTCAAAGCTGCAGAAACACTCATCCAACGGGCATGTCGAACATGCACAAACCAAGGACCCGGATGCTCTCAAGTCTTTCTATGTCTCACAGGAAATTGAAAATGTGACAAAGAAAGAGCTTTGTAACTCTGATGGCTATCAACAAGTACTTGCACAGAAATATGTACACTGGCTGCAGACACTTTAAGAACATGTCAGATATTTCGACCTCAACCAGCAATCGCCACATGAAGTTGCCATATAAATATTTAGCAAGTGTGGGCTGTTTTTAACTACACAAATTCGGAATCTGTTCTATTTATTTGTTTGGATTTTCTGGTCTGTTCTGTGGGTGTATTTTTAAAACAAATTTTTATTTACTCTCCACCAACCAGCTTGTGGTGTATTGACTAGTGGGTCTCACTGACTCTGCTCATTACGTTTGTGAAGTGCCGAATCAGACTTCTCAGCACAACATATAAGACTGTCCAGATTTTGCTAGAAGGATAGAACAAATCTGGCCGGAGGAAATAACCTTTCTAGACAAAGGCAAACTGGTGAAAACTTGCAGCACGCTATCCCATGTGTGGCTGGTGCAGAACAGACACACAGCAGTTGTCTGGAGGCTGAAGAAGCTGCTTTGACCATGAGATGGTTAGACAGTGAGTTGCTTCGTGTAAAAAGTGCCTGTTTCTACACCTATACGTGTATTAGGCATTCAAGGCTAGACCTAAATTTTATAGATCAGTTGGCACACTGTTGGTGGTACCTGATGGTATAAGGCTGTGAATCTGTGTTCTGTACATTACCTGATGATGTAAGACTAAGTACAGGTGTTCTGTACATTACCTGATGGTGTAAGACTAAGTACAGGTGTTCTATACATTACCTGATGGTGTGAGACTAAGTACAGGTGTTCTATACATTACCTGATGGTGTAAGACTAAGTACAGGTGTTCTATACATTACCTGATGATGTGAGACTAAGTACAGGTGTTCTATACATTACCTGATGATGTAAGACTAAGTACAGGTGTTCTATACATTACCTGATGGTGTGAGACTAAGTACAGGTGTTCTATACATTACCTGATGATGTAAGACTAAGTACAGGTGTTCTATACATTACCTGATGGTGTAAGACTAAGTACAGGTGTTCTATACATTACCTGATGATGTAAGACTAAGTACAGGTGTTCTATACATTACCTGATGGTGTAAGACTAAGTACAAGTGTTCTATACATTACCTGATGGTGTAAGACTAAGTACAGGTGTTCTATACATTACCTGATGGTGTAAGACTAAGTACAGGTGTTCTATACATTACCTGATGATGTGAGACTAAGTACAGGTGTTCTATACATTACCTGATGATGTAAGACTAAGTACAGGTGTTCTATACATTACCTGATGGTGTGAGACTAAGTACAGGTGTTCTATACATTACCTGATGGTGTGAGACTAAGTACAGGTGTTCTATACATTACCTGATGATGTGAGACTAAGTACAGGTGTTCTATACATTACCTGATGGTGTGAGACTAAGTACAGGTGTTCTATACATTACCTGATGATGTAAGACTAAGTACAGGTGTTCTATACATTACCTGATGATGTAAGACTAAGTACAGGTGTTCTATACATTACCTGATTGTGTGAGACTAAGTACAAGTGTTCTATACATTACCTGATGATGTAAGACTAAGTACAGGTGTTCTATACATTACCTGATGGTGTAAGACTAAGTACAGGTGTTCTATACATTACCTGATGGTGTGAGACTAAGTACAGGTGTTCTATACATTACCTGATGGTGTGAGACTAAGTACAGGTGTTCTATACATTACCTGATGATGTGAGACTAAGTACAAGTGTTCTATACATTACCTGATGGTGTAAGACTAAGTACAGGTGTTCTATACATTACCTGATGATGTAAGACTAAGTACAGGTGTTCTATACATTACCTGATGGTGTAAGACTAAGTACAGGAGTTCTATACATTACCTGATGATGTAAGACTAAGTACAGGTGTTCTATACATTACCTGATGGTGTAAGACTAAGTACAGGTGTTCTATACATTACCTGATGGTGTAAGACTAAGTACAAGTGTTCTATACATTACCTGATGATGTAAGACTAAGTACAGGTGTTCTATACATTACCTGATGATGTAAGACTAAGTACAGGTGTTCTATACATTACCTGATGATGTAAGACTAAGTACAGGTGTTCTATACATTACCTGATGATGTAAGACTAAGTACAGGTGTTCTATACATTACCTGATGATGTAAGACTAAGTACAGGTGTTCTATACATTACCTGATGGTGTGAGACTAAGTACAGGTGTTCTATACATTACCTGATGATGTAAGACTAAGTACAGGTGTTCTATACATTACCTGATGGTGTAAGACTAAGTACAGGTGTTCTATACATTACCTGATGATGTAAGACTAAGTACAGGTGTTCTATACATTACCTGATGATGTAAGACTAAGTACAGGTGTTCTATACATTACCTGATGGTGTGAGACTAAGTACAGGTGTTCTATACATTACCTGATGGTGTGAGACTAAGTACAGGTGTTCTATACATTACCTGATGGTGTAAGACTAAGTACAGGTGTTCTATACATTACCTGATGGTGTAAGACTAAGTACAGGTGTTCTATACATTACCTGATGATGTAAGACTAAGTACAGGTGTTCTATACATTACCTGATGGTGTGAGACTAAGTACAGGTGTTCTATACATTACCTGATGATGTGAGACTAAGTACAGGTGTTCTATACATTACCTGATGATGTGAGACTAAGTACAGGTGTTCTATACATTACCTGATGGTGTGAGACTAAGTACAGGTGTTCTATACATTACCTGATGGTGTGAGACTAAGTACAGGTGTTCTATACATTACCTGATGATGTGAGACTAAGTACAGGTGTTCTATACATTACCTGATCGTGTGAGACTAAGTACAGGTGTTCTATACATTACCTGATGGTGTGAGACTAAGTACAGGTGTTCTATACATTACCTGATGGTGTAAGACTAAGTACAGGTGTTCTATACATTACCTGATGGTGTGAGACTAAGTACAGGTGTTCTATACATTACCTGATGGTGTGAGACTAAGTACAGGTGTTCTATACATTACCTGATGGTGTGAGACTAAGTACAGGTGTTCTATACATTACCTGATGGTGTAAGACTAAGTACAGGTGTTCTATACATTACCTGATGATGTAAGACTAAGTACAGGTGTTCTATACATTACCTGATGGTGTGAGACTAAGTACAGGTGTTCTATACATTACCTGATGGTGTGAGACTAAGTACAGGTGTTCTATACATTACCTGATGGTGTAAGACTAAGTACAGGTGTTCTATACATTACCTGATGGTGTAAGACTAAGTACAGGTGTTCTATACATTACCTGATGATGTAAGACTAAGTACAGGTGTTCTATACATTACCTGATGGTGTAAGACTAAGTACAGGTGTTCTATACATTACCTGATGATGTAAGACTAAGTACATATGTTCTATACATTACCTGATGGTGTGAGACTAAGTACAGGTGTTCTATACATTACCTGATGGTGTGAGACTAAGTACAGGTGTTCTATACATTACCTGATGGTGTAAGACTAAGTACAGGTGTTCTATACATTACCTGATGGTGTAAGACTAAGTACAGGTGTTCTATACATTACCTGATGATGTAAGACTAAGTACAGGTGTTCTATACATTACCTGATGGTGTGAGACTAAGTACAGGTGTTCTATACATTACCTGATGATGTGAGACTAAGTACAGGTGTTCTATACATTACCTGATGATGTGAGACTAAGTACAGGTGTTCTATACATTACCTGATGGTGTGAGACTAAGTACAGGTGTTCTATACATTACCTGATGATGTAAGACTAAGTACAGGTGTTCTATACATTACCTGATGATGTGAGACTAAGTACAGGTGTTCTATACATTACCTGATGGTGTGAGACTAAGTACAGGTGTTCTATACATTACCTGATGGTGTGAGACTAAGTACAGGTGTTCTATACATTACCTGATGATGTAAGACTAAGTACAGGTGTTCTATACATTACCTGATGGTGTGAGACTAAGTACAGGTGTTCTATACATTACCTGATGATGTAAGACTAAGTACATATGTTCTATACATTACCTGATGGTGTAAGACTAAGTACAAGTGTTCTATACATTACCTGATGGTGTAAGACTAAGTACAGGTGTTCTATACATTACCTGATGATGTAAGACTAAGTACAAGTGTTCTGTACATTACCTGATGGTGTAAGACTAAGTACAGGTGTTCTATACATTACCTGATGATGTAAGACTAAGTACAAGTGTTCTGTACATTACCTGATGATGTAAGACTAAGTACAGGTGTTCTATACATTACCTGATGGTGTAAGACTAAGTACAGGTGTTCTATACATTACCTGATGGTGTAAGACTAAGTACAAGTGTTCTATACATTACCTGATGATGTAAGACTAAGTACAGGTGTTCTATACATTACCTGATGGTGTGAGACTAAGTACAGGTGTTCTATACATTACCTGATGATGTAAGACTAAGTACATATGTTCTATACATTACCTGATGGTGTAAGACTAAGTACAGGTGTTCTATACATTACCTGATGATGTGAGACTAAGTACAGGTGTTCTATACATTACCTGATGGTGTGAGACTAAGTACAGGTGTTCTATACATTACCTGATGGTGTGAGACTAAGTACATATGTTCTATACATTACCTGATGGTGTGAGACTAAGTACACATGTTCTATACATTACCTGATGGTGTGAGACTAAGTACATATGTTCTATACATTACCTGATGGTGTGAGACTAAGAACATATGTTCCAGACATTACCTGATGGTGTGAGCCTGAGAACTCATGTTCCATACATTATCTAATCGTATAAGGCCGAGAAACCATGTTCTAAACATTACCTGATCGTATAAGGCCGAGAAACCATGTTCTATACATTACCTGATCGTATAAGGCCGAGAAGCCATGTTCTATACATTACCTGATTGTATAAGGCCGAGAAGCCATGTTCTATACATTACCTGATTGTATAAGGCAGAGAAGCCATGTTCTATACATTACCTGATTGTATAAGGCCGAGAAGCCATGTTCTATACATTA